TAAACATACGTCAAAATGATATTTTTTAATTTATAAACATGTAATAAAAATACATTTTTTACTTTACGATTATTATCGGATACTTCATTTGGTATCAAAAAACATGAGAGAGTTTTTACAATATCGAAAATATTCGGTATTTCGTGTAATACTATTTGAGACATCGTGGTCACCGCAAAAAGAAACTTTTAAATATATCTTACAAATTTTTAAACATATCTTGACGAAAAAAATTATATATTAAGTTCAATAATTGTACTATGAAATCGCGCTCTGTTTTCGATTAAAAAATGCATGTTGATTATGAAAAAAATTCTTGACAACTGCATATGACTCCTTAAAAAACCAACTGGGACGACGCATTTCAGTTAGGGTCAGAAGATTCACTTGTACAGAATTCAACCAATTATAACTTAAATCATTATTCTTGTCTGAAATATTGCAAAAGGTTTTTTTTCTTTATAAATATTGCGGCATTTGAAAAGGCACCAGTAAGCACGCAATTAATGGTCACAGAAAACTATTATTAAAGCCTTACGTAAATTAACGTAAAGTTTCAAGCCAAATACATTTGTGCGAAAAAAATCCTTGTTAAAAGTTTAACGTGCAATATTTCATTTTTGCACGTTTAATTATATTTCACTGACTGAAACTCGTTATCCCAAAAATAAAGTAATTCTTGCGCTTTAGGACCTACATAACGTCTCTAAATCACTCTAAAATTACACTAAAATTACATGAAATAAAAATGTTCCGTATCATTTATGCCTATAATCATGTCTTCGAATGCGCTTTTCCTTCGCTTAAATACGCTTTTTAATTAGTCGTAACATCTTTAATGCCTGAAATGGTTGATAAAAAGTAGAATCTTGAAAACGATGAAAAAGATCTCGCACGTCACATCTTTCGGTTGCATTAACATATTTTACGCTAAAAAAAGGAATACTTTCGCATGTTTAGTGACAGAAGGAACGACACAACGTACAAGTAGACCACATAAACGATTACCGACTATTCTTTTTCTTTTTTTCTTTTCTACCAAACATCGAACAGGGACGCAAAGTCAGGCAGGGCGGATAAGTTTAGTCCTCGCAACGGTCTTCAGAAAACAATCCAACGAGTCCAATTTATTTCCGTTTCCCAAAGGAGGTGGAATAGATTATCTTGGAGCGGTATTACGCATGCAAAATGACGACGTAACACGCAACACCGATGCAGAACGTTCAAGAGGACAACAGTTTTATTCAACAGTCAGGTAGAAGTACAATGAGTATGGACAGAACAATTGGATGGTCGTCATTCTAAGTAAAACGTAGGGTGACAGATAGAATGAAATGGTTTACATAGAGACGGAAAAGGGCTTTAACGTTTAGAAAATCTTTGGTTGGTCGCTCGTGGCTTAAGGATTGAAGAGACCCTAGTAGCACGAAATATTTCTCCTATATTTTCTATACATTTAATAATTGCATGGTAATTTAGAATGCTGTGGTAATCGAAAAACGCGCTTTTTAACTTGATGAGGGCAAAAAAGTGGCTTATAAGCTCCTGTACCCAGAATATNTTATTCTATGCTACTAGGGATAAGTCAAAAACTGGTAAGTATAGTTTCATCAAAACTGTCACTAGAATTAAGTAATTGCAAAGACACTTCTCAAATTTCAAACATCGAGAATGCTTTTTTCAAAGGACAGCATAGGATAACACTACAGGTAACTCTCTTTCTCAAATAATTATGTAATATATAATTCCCCATTTCGACACATATCGGTTTATTTCCGTTCTTAACAATACGCTAATGAGATTAAGACTGTTTCAACGCTTCACTTTTCTTCGACCATTAAAGGGGTATTTCTATTGTTTTAAACAACCTCTATCTAATGAAATCTACTAGATTTGCAATAATTCATACCACTTCGTAAGATATCGATTTATTTCACCTCTTAATACTATTCCAATCGTATTAAAATTCTGTTTCATCGCTTCATTAACATTAAATCATTAGAAAAGTACTTCAATTATATCAATCATCTAAAATAATTCCTATATCAGGACATGGTTACTTTTCGAACAATTAGAACCTCCAGTACTTCTTAAAGCTACTCGAATCGCGTGAAAGTTACTTCAATTGTTCCATTTTTACAAATAAACAATGTTTCTATCCTATCGAACAATATCATTCGAAATAAATTCTGCATTTTCAAATAATTCATACCATTATGTATAGCATTTTATTTCAATGTTTATTACTATTCTAATGAAATTATTGAGGGAGTTCATCGACGATAAGTTAAGGGAGCGTTTATCGTACGTTTATCTCTTTTACGAGGCAACTCCGCATTTCTTTTTTTTTTTTGGTTTTAAAGGCCTCTATATTCTGCGATTAGAGGACGACGGATGATATCGGGGACCGTCCTCTTTACTTTATTCGATCTCATCACCTGCATGTCTCTTCTCCTGCGCCTTAATTCCGCCATGTCTTCCTCGAAAGCTGCGGCGGCTCGAGCTTTAAAGCGTCGATGAGTGGATACGTATTCATCTTCGAAATTTTCTTCTGGTATAGCCCGGCCACGACTATCGTACATGTAATCGAAGCCATCGTAGTCCTCATCAGGACCTGCTAGACCTCTAGACCCTGAAATGTTAGTAGAAGCGTGTTAGAGAAGTTAATAAATTACCAGATCAAGTAAAGCGAATCACTAAACCCCTATTTTAAGGATACATACATAGATAATGAAGTCACGTAATGTGTAATTTCATTTATGTTTATGACTTATTTCTACCGAGAAGAAATTGTGCCGATCACAAATGTGCCCATAATTTTGAAAGTGGTCTAAGTCATATATTTTTTGTTTCGAAATTACATTGAATTAATTTAGCTTGAAATAATATGGCGTGAAATAACTGATAAACTCATTTTTTTTTTAATTTTGACTTAGACCACTTTCATAATTATGGGCACAAATATGTTTCCCTTTTGTTCCGAAGGCGAACTTTTTGAAACATTATTTCGGGGTATTTTGGAAAACTCTCTTTAAAATTAAGTACACGTCTTTCGGCAATTATTCTCTTTGGCACTATAACTTACACTTTGATACTCGGAAACGGAACTGCCGGAAGATGTATTTATTTAATGTCAGATAACTTTTCATCTCAGTTTAGGAACGATTACCAAGCAGCAGAGTAAGCAAGTTATTACTTAGTAATATTAATAAATATGCGTTAGTAGGAAAAATGTTTCCTTTCCGCGCCTTAAGGTGAAGTGAAACCCCCTTCAAATCAGTCGATTCGAATACAACACTTTTTTTAAGGGTATTAGACCAAACTGTCCGAAACTTTGACACATCACTCCTGATCATCTAATAATTGTCCTGACACATTCAAAATTTGGATTTTTTTTAAATTTTTTAACTTAACTCAGACCTGAACCAAAATGGCGTCGAGCTCTCATATTTCGATCAATATACAATTATCGAAGGCTCTGATATGAGAATCGAAAGGGTCAGGACAATTTTACGACAATTTAGAACACTCTGGTAATCGATAAACTCGTATTTGAACGGAATAAAGGCAAAAAAAGTGTTGTACGCGCTTCTATGCTAAAACAATGGGAATCCGAGGTCCCGGAGTGAAAGTTTAATTGACCTGGAAATCACAGATGGCGCAGGGGGTCCCTCTGCAGTCAATTAGGGCCCCAAAAAGCATGAATCCAGAGGATTTCTGGAGTTTTACTTCGATTTCATGATATTTATTGTACGAAAACGACAGGTGGAGTATGCCATTTGGTACAATACCCAATATAATTCGACACAGCTGTCAATATAAAAACGAACATCGGCAACGTAGGCATTTAAAAAAATCTTCTTTATCAACGTCGATCAAGTTCCTCGACGTGTTTCACTTCACCTTAAGCTCCTCGTAATTTCAGAAAATGAATCCTTCTGAGAAAAGCTGCAGCGAGAAGCATTTGCGAAATTTGCATATTCTCTTAAAAGGAAACTAAATGGACGATTACATTTAATTGAAGATGTAAAAATATTTCAACCAACGCAACGTTTACGTCTTTGAAATGCGAAGGAAATATGTTAATGTATATCGTCAATTGAATCATGCCGATAAATGATTTAAAAACAAACTGCAGAAAAAGCATAATACTGTAAAAATCTTTCATTTAAATGAAACGTACGTTCAGCCACCTTTTTTGAAGCAGAAAATTTCAGATAATATATTGTTTTAGAAACTTTAATGAAAGCTTCGATTTCTTTTTTAGTTGTTATGTAGAAAGCGTTCATTAAGTAAAACTTCAAAGATCATGGCATTTCTTACCTTCCCTTCTGTACCTTATAAATAAATTGGGATATCATTTCTGTAGTTTAATGTTTGTCATCGATTTAAAAAATCGTCACACTACAATCTAACGTTTCTTATCGGCTACTGAACTACTATTTTTTTCGGATATCTGAAATTTTGGATTATCTGATGTGTTCATTTATTATGTGTTAATAAGCGTATACTAGAAGAAATGTTTTCACCTCAAATATTCCACTTCCAAATATCCGGAACTCAATAAAAGAAGTGTCGAAGTTCCTCGCCAGAGGTCGCATCGAAGTAATTAGTTTCTCGCAAGCAAGGAAATACAATTTATTTGCAAACGTATGTAATGGATATATTACACTCGCAGGAGTCAGCAGGGGCGAAAATAACTGTCATAAGCGATCATGAGATCGCAGTACGTCTTTACATTGTAATTAAACAATTTATATACACGAGTCGACGACTTGTTCCTCGAGGAACATCGCAAGTGCGTTCCATTAGGTCGGCCCGATTATAAAATTAATAACTTACTATCGGAGGAACGGGAACGCAGGGAAGACATTGAAAATCCTTAAAAATTTTTCCGGGAATAAATTATACCGTAGAAATGGAATATTACAGACTCAGATGGGAAAATATGGAAAATACTTTCACCAACGATTGCAAGAGAATGCTGGCTTGTCCCGGGGCTAACGCGTGTTTTTAGAGGAAAAATTTAGTTCCAACTAAAGGTCACAGATGGCGGCGCTGGTCCTAAACAGTCGTTAGAATAATGAATTCCCGGGATTTCGACGGTTTAACATCGATCTCTTCATCTTTACTTTACCGCAATGATATATGGAGCGCTTCGGTTCGTATAATTCTCAACGTAGACTGTAAAGGACTCAACATAAATATAAATGACGATAACGTGACGCATTAGCTTATGCTACCCTTTAAGTATTCAAAATGACGTTACCACCAGAAAGGATTTAGATGAATTTTAATATATCGACGTCGAGTAAATTTCCCAGCGCCATTCATATCATCTTAAGACACCGCTATTGTGTTGTGTGGCATTTTTCAACCGTGTTTTCTCAATGATCCCTGGGACTGAAACGGTTAATCATAGTTCCGCGCTCCACCACCGGTACTAGTTAGTACCACCTGCGGTACCAATCGGATCTCCACCTTGCAAAGTCCACATCATCCTTCCGACGCGTTCCCATCTCCATCGGCATCGACCCGGCCCTAGCTCCGAAACTATCGAGGAACTCGTCATGAGTTCGGAAGCAAGGCTATCCGTAACCCTTCGGGATGACTAACGAGTAAATTAGAAGGTGACGTGCTTCTCGGCCCGTTCTGCCCTGACGGAGACCTTCTTGCTGCTGCTGATGGACTGGTGCAGATCCTCGCTGGCGGCGACGTTCTCGTTAACCAGAGCCCTAAGGGCAGCGGCCCTCCTCTCCCTCTTGGCCTGCCTCTCGGCCATCTCCTCCATCTCCGTCTCCAAGTCGTTGAGTCTGGCTTTGGTCTGCTTGGCCCTGTTAGCAGCGGCACCGGTCAGGTCCTCGTCCACCAGCTTGGTCCACCTGGACAGCGAAGGCTTCTCCTCGGCGCCGTCGTCTTCGCCCAGGAACTTGGAGCGGCGCTTGAAGGCGCTGTCGGCCTCTTCCAGTGCCGTCTTGGCCTTTGCTCCAAAGCTGTCCAGGAACTTGTCGTCGATCTCGAAACGCGGACGCCGGTTGTTCTCCAGGTCCTCGTCGAACCCGATGGCCGCCACCTTGGCTTTGAAGCGGCGCGTCGTGGAGGCGACCTCGCTGGCGAAGTCGTCGGCGAACTTGCGGCGGGTCCGCTGTCCACGGCTGTCGAAGACGGTTTCCTCGTCGTCGAGGAAGGGGTCGGTCGGGGGTTGGGTGCGGGGGCGAGGGTCGATTTCGAGGTCAAGGTCACGGCCGTAGGAGCCACTGCGGGAGCCGGCAAGGTCGCGGGTGCCTGCAAACCGATCAAAAGTCATTGCATAGTGCGCGCCCTCCTCTGCGCCGACCTTCCCCGTGGTGGACGGCCCTGAGGAACGACCGTGACGCACCCTCGAGAATATTCCCTATTTCGTTGGTTAAGAGCTTACGTTCAAGTGATATGAAATCCCCCTCAAACCTGGTGATTTGTATAGGACACTTACTTAACCCTTTGAGCGCTAAGCCGTTTCGGCGTTTGGGCGAATTTCATCAGGCCGTGCGAGCAATATTGGACCAAACGTCGGACGCTCTTATGGGTTCATAGAGCTCAAAGGGTTAAGGGGATGTCAAAGTGGCATCGAAGAGTTCTCGTTCGTGAAACTTTTCCCCAAACTGGGTGTACCGAATCGATTCAAATTTTACAATATAAATATGGAGGGTGTAAGGGAGGTCCTGAAACTCATGAAATTTCAATTATTGAAAAATTTGTTCAGTGACATTTTTTATATCCGTTAGAGAAAATGTAATTTCATGAGAGTCAGGACCTTTCTTATAGCCTCCACGTTCACGTTGTAAAGTTTGAAACGATTCATCACACCTAGCTCGGAAAAAAGGTTCATGAACGATTGACTGTTCAGATGCCACTTTCACATCCTCCTAAGGGTTTTGCGCCGAAATGGCTGAAATTGTAGCACGTGTCTCGTGAGCACTTTCAAAATTTCGATTCTTAGGCAACATTTCTTTTACTTAGCCTGGACCAGAACCAAAATGGCGCCGAGTTCTTATATTTCGATCGATATACAATTATTGAAAGTTCCGATGTGAGAAACTAAAGTGTGATAATTGCATGGTAATTTAGAATGCTGTGGTAATCGAAAAACGCGCTTTTTAACTTGATGAGGGCAAAAAAGTGGCTTATAAGCTCCTGTACCCAGAATATGGGAATATGAAGTCTCGGAAACATACGTTTATATTTTTAATAAAAATTAAGTAGCTTATTTGGAATTAAAAAAAAAAGAAGTTTGTTTCTAATAGGCTTTCGGAACGTAATCCCCCCTTTTCGTCCTGGCTCTGAGTCTCATGTAACACGGTTTCACTCAACACGGCATTTTCTAGGAACATTTACCGTGTTATAGGAGGGTTACCTGTACAAGGTTACAGAAATTTCAATGAGAAATCTTGGGAGTTTCAGCATCGTATTAGCGTTAGTTAGGAATATTCTCGATAAATCGTCATTTCCTAGAGGACTTTGCGGAATACTTTCGAATTACGGTTCTACAGTGTCTACCGAGGAACAATAAGTGGTGGTGGAGAGAGAGGGGAAGACGGACGAGGAAATCTACGAGGCAATATTGAGCATCTACGGAGTCAAGTCCAAGTGCTCCAGTAGAGTCAATCAAGAAGATGAAGGATGCAGGATACTGACTTTGCGGAATACTTTCGAATTACGCTTCTACAGTGTCTACCGAGGAACAATAAGTGGTGGTGGAGAGAGAGGGGAAGACGGACGAGGAAATCTACGAGGCAATATTGAGCATCTACGGAGTCAAGTCCAAGTGCTCCAGTAGAGTCAATCAAGAAGATGAAGGATGCAGGATACTGACTTTGCGGAATACTTTCGAATTACGCTTCTACAGTGTCTACCGAGGATAAGTGATGGTGGAGAGGGAGAGGAAGACGGACGAGGAAATCTACGAGGCAATATTGACAATCTACGGAGTCAAGTCCAAGTGCTCCAGTAGAGTCGATCAAGAAGATGAAGGATGCAGGATACGGACTTTGCGGAATACTTTCGAATCACGCTTCTACAGTGTCTACCGAGGAACAATAAGTGGTGGTGGAGAGAGAGGGGAAGACGGACGAGGAAATCTACGAGGCAATATTGAGCATCTACGGAGTCAAGTCCAAGTGCTCCAGTAGAGTCAATCAAGAAGATGAAGGATGCAGGATACGGACTTTGCGGAATACTTTCGAATCACGCTTCTACAGTGTCTACCGAGGAACAATAAGTGGTGGTGGAGAGAGAGTGGAAGACGGACGAGGAAATCTACGAGGCAATATTGACAATCTACGGAGTCAAGTCGAAGTGCTCCAGTAGAGTCGATCAAGAAGATGAAGGATGCAGGATACGGAAGATGTGGTGTCACCCTTCGTCTTATGGGACGTTCCGCAGCCTTCGAGATGAGTTTGGTTGGACCACGGTGGTCGAAAATTGCCCTCGGCACAACGTCAATCCTATTTTCGTCGCCATCTGTACGATCGCCGCTTCGGAATCCCTCGAAAATCGACTAAACCTCGAAAATCTCGAATTCGGTCCGCATGATCCTCACGTTCAACTTATTTCCTTAACATCCATTTGGTGATTCTTCATTTTCTAAATCTCTTAAGGCGTCATACGCAGTTGCCATAGGCGAAATTCAAGAATTTCCTTTCATAACTGAAATGCATTTTTTAATCGAAAACAGAGCGTCATTTAAGCCGCTCAGTGCACACATCGACTAACTCCACTTTTTGAAAAATCTTAAATTTAGGTGTCAAAGCACTTGGTATAGTCATAACTTTTTATATTTATAATATCTCAACTTTTTTTTGTTTTATGGAGTTAATCAATGTGTGCACTGAGCGGCTCATTTCATAGTACAATTATTGAACTTACCCTAGTAGCAGAGAATAATTTCTAAATACTTTTTTTAATCCTTGCTAAATATCTCAAGCGACAGATTTTTTAAGATGTCTCCTAGATTTCATTCAGATATCTAAAATATTTGTCGAAAATCTTAATGACATATTTAGTTTTAATCATTTAGAAACATGTATCGAAATTATATTTTTTAATTTATAAACATGTAATAAAAATACATTTTTTACTTTACGATTATTATCGGATACTTCATTTGGTATCAAAAAACATGAGAGAGTTTTTACAATATCGAAAATATTCGGTATTTCGTGTAATACTATTTGAGACATCGTGGTCACCGCAAAAAGAAACTTTTAAATATATCTTACAAATTTTTAAACATATCTTGACGAAAAAAATTATATATTAAGTTCAATAATTGTACTATGAAATCGCGCTCTGTTTTCGATTAAAAAATGCATGTTGATTATGAAAAAAATTCTTGACAACTGCATATGACTCCTTAAAAAACCAACTGGGACNAAATCTTAAAAAATCTGTCGCTTGAGATATTTAGCAAAGATTACAAAGAAATATTTAGAAATTATTCTATGCTACTAGGGGATAATCGAATAATATGACGGGGTACGTAGCATTTTCGCGCCAAACACATGTTATGGTACATATTATAACATGCACTTGGCACCAAGTATGTTTTGGAACACGTGGAAATATAGAATCGAACGTCCCACGGTTTCTTTCAATTCGTCGAATGAATTCAGCTTCAAAGTCTATTAAAATCATCGTGCCATATTTTACATATTTTAACCTGAATAATTTGCGGGATAACTTGCGACCTTAGTCCTTGGTTTAAATTCCGCCATTGTTTGAGAAATTTTTAAGCGGGTTTTAACGATCCTGGGCACGACGTTTTGACGGTGATGGAAAGTTTTATTTATATGCAAATGCTTGGAAGATATATTTTAGTACACTGTTGGCAGTTACTGAAATTATTTTGTTAAAATAATTGTAATACATTGTAATTCCTACAGCGTTTATGAAACGAAACACCACGTCGATAGCCAAATGCGATATATTAATAAAAATACTCTTCACGATCTTTTTTGTGTATGTTTAGTTACATAACAACTATTCAACCAAACAACTACTACGATGGAATTTTGTGTTTGAAACGACACAGAACACTGTCTACGTGTATTCTACCACAAGTGTCTACGTACTTTACACGACACGGTTGAATTAAACATCGTGCATTTAAATCTTTATACCTTCAAAAACATCCTTTCCACCCCTGTCAAAATTCATACCGGAATATACGTAAGATATTATACGTCAAATATCGTACAGAAACTAAAATGGCCGAAAATTCATACCGGAACGTACGTAAGATATTATACGTCAAATATTGTACAGAAACTCAAATGGCCGAAAATTCATACCGGAACATACGTAAGATATTATACGTCAAATATCGTACAGAAATTTAAGTGGCCGAAAATTCATACCGGAATATATGTAAGATATTATACGTCGAATATCGTACAGAAACTCAAATGGCCGAAAATTCGTAGCGGAACATACGTAAGATATTATACGTCGAATATCGTACAGAAACTTAATTGGCCGAAAATTCATACCGGAACGTACGTAAGATATTATACGTCAAATATCATACAGAAACTTAAATGGCCGAAAATTTATACCGGAACGTACATAAGATATTATACTTCAAATATCGTACAGAAACTTGAATGGCCGAACAGTATACTGCGACTACTGGAGTCAAGCATTCCTATAAGCTACCACATTACCGATATCTAATCACGTTTTAACTCAATATCCTCCACGTATCTAATTCTTAAAAAAAAGAAAAAACGAATAGAATGAAAACAAAGTATGTCTGCCATCGCCGTATCCTAACTCATGCCGGGAAGTCGAAAATTGTTAAACGAAGGATTTCGTATTATAACTAGACGCCGCGCGAGGGCGCCATGACTACGTGAACCAAAATGCGAAGACGCGCCACTCGTGACCGCATCGAAACGTCGAAATCTCCCATTTAGGGCATTCTCTGCACAGTTTGGGCGTGTCTCTCGGTAGGTGACATCACATCAAGATTAAACGGGAAGGCAGGGGGCACGTTCATTCCTCAAAACCATTTTGGAAAACGACTGAAGAGGTTACCGAAGTCGGTTCGCCGGGCCGCGATCTCGTCGGCTAGGGAATTTCGCGGCTCCGAGAAGAGAGGACGTCCGCTGTACTTCCGGTCAAGGTGATCCACCATGGGCTTGTAATACGACTCCCCCTTGTCGTAATTGCACCCATAGACGCGCGTACGCGGCCTGCTCAGGATCGGCCTTGACATCTTGATGCTGCTCGTCTACTTTTCTGTAATGAAAATCCTTCCATTAGTATCTGTTGATGCGATGCACACGCGTTATGGCAAACTACAATTTTTATACTAAAAATGAGAGCTACGGAGAGCTTTCGCGCAATGTTAACTGTTCGATTGATTTCTTTGGTTCTGCAGGTCTCCTTCGAACAGGAGACCGTAACGTTATTGCGGAGACGTGTCGCTTATAATCTAAAGACATTTATTCGAGAACATTGAGCTTCTTCACAGTTCCACACATCTCAGGGCTCTTGCCCGCTCAACAAATTGAGCGCACTCATCTCTCAATTCCCAAAAATCTTAAACTAGCCGACCGAACTTTCCATCAGCCAGCTGAAGTCGATATGCTGATCAGCACTGCCAGGTCCTGTCGATGTTATGTATCGGACAAATCGATCTATCGACCACAAATGGACCAGACTTGATTTTACAAAAAACACATTTAGGTTGTGTTATCGGCGGCAATGTGCCTTCAGTTGCATCAGCATCGAGGCATCATCAAACTTATCTTTCAAATTCGATCGCCTTCGATTTGACTAAATTTTGGGAAATTGAAGAAGTAAGCAGTGCTCCACATTTATCGCAAGAGGAAGCCGCATGCGAGCGACACTTAAAATATCAGAGCTCGACGCCATTTTAGTTCTGGTCTGGGCTAAGGTAAACAATTTTTTCCAAAAATCCAAATTTTTAATGTGTCAGGACAATTCTTAAATGGTCACGAGTCATGTGTCAAAGTTTCGAATAGTTAGGTCTAATACCCTTAAAAAAAAATGTATTCGAATCGACTGATTTGAAAGGGGGTTTCACTTCACCTTAAATCTTGACGCATATGATTTTGCACGCTCAGATTCACCGGAGTCTATGTAAGATGACCTCTGAAGGAACGTCTATTTCTGCAAAATATTTATAAGTTTGCAGTTGTATCGAAGCTTTATTACGCCAACATTCGAAACGAACGTGACCGGAAATTGTCGCTTAATAAACCTGTCTAAGCTAGGAAAGCTTTTAGGAAAATAGTCACTGTTTCTATTTTTACTCCTACATTCGATACGAACTTTTAAAACTGCACCTTTGAATTGGAATTTAATTTAAAATTCATTTGTGATAATTGCCACGTCCAAATTAATAAAAATATCAAGTGTAAGAATAACAGTTGTTTAAAGTTAAAATAGTACAAATGCATGAGAGAAATATGTATGTAATTTCTATATATGCATTAGCAGCTCTGAAAGGGGAGGCAAAATTTTGTAGCTTAATTTTATATTTTCTGGGCCACTGATTTCTTACAACTTGTACAATAAATTGGTCGACAAGATAATTACTTATTAATAATAACGGTCCTATTTTGTTAAAAAATTCTAATCTCGAGAAGAGATTCTGTGGTAAGTGAATTATAAAGTTGTACCTGGATCTTAAAATGTTTGCGACTTCAGTTTAATGTTAAAGCTGAAAATAATTATTTCTCGGATAATATTATAACTAGAAGGCAAGTGAAAATAATCTTAGCAGTCGAAATCCAGATAAAAAAGTGGTCTCAAATGTTACTGCATTTTCTTTTTGGGTTACCTATAAGTTGAAGAGATTCGGAGATATTACAGAACAATCTACGAGGAAAACGGAACCACATTAGAATGTTCAACAGCATCGCGGTAAATAGCAAGAATCATTTCCGCGGGTCTGCATTCCAAATCTCGAAAATAGAATGACTTTCGCGATGAATGCACCCCTGGTGAAAGTCCGAGATAGAATTACCAGAATTTCTGAATAATTCATGATGCGCTTCATGCACGAGTACTTAGGCCAGAAGCTATTACTCTCAGAGATTTAGGAAAACTCTTCAATCAGGATGAAAACGAGCTACGCTAATGGTATATAAACATTAGGTGGATAGAAATGGTCGCGATAATTTCCACGATACGTATAAACTGCAATGAAAATTTATGAAGAACCTTTAATCGAGGTAAAAAAAATAAATCGAGGTTCAGTTAAGATGAAAACCAGCTACACTGATAATATATGAACATTACGTGGATAGAAATGGTCGCGATAATTTCCACGATACGTATAAACTGCAATGAAAATTTATGAAGAACCTTTAATCGAGGTAAAAAAAAAAAATCGAGGTTCAGTTAAGATGAAAACCAGCTACACTGATAATATATGAACATTACGTGGATAGAAACGGTCACAATAATTTCTACGATACGTATGAACTGCAAGGAAAATTTAGGAAGAGCTTTTAATCAAAGTGAAAACCAAGTTGTGCCGTTAACCAATACCATAAATACCAATGAATAGAAACTGCTCATAATATATAAGAGTTTCAGGACCTAGCTCGAACAATTTAGAATAACGTAGAAATGTAATATTACAGAGTCAGATGGGAAAATATGGAAAATACTTTCACCAACGATCGCAAGAGAATGCTGGCTTGACTCGGGCGTTAACACATATTTTTAAAGCAAACATTTAATGCAGATAAACGTTACAGATGGCGACATTGATCCGTCAAAGTATAAACAGTCATAATTTCACGGGATTTCGATAGTTTTACATCGATCTTTTTATCATTACTTTTCCGAAATGACATATGGAACGCTTCATTTCGTACAATTCTCAACGTAGACTGTAAAAGATTTCAACATAAACATAAATGTCGGTAACGGGACGTGCCAGCTTATGAGTATTCAAAATGACGTTATTACCACCAAAAAGGGTATAGACGAATTTTATTTATCGACCTCGATTAAATTTCTCAGCGCCTTTCATATCATCTTAAGGTGAAGTGAAACACGTCGAGGAACTTGATCAACGTCGATAAAGAAAATTTTTCTAAATGCCTACGTTGCCGGGTCGAATTATATTGGGTATTGTACCAAATGGCATACTCCACCTGTCGTTTTCGTACATTAATTATAAAGAAATCGAAGTAAAACACCAGAAATCCTCTGGATTCATGCTTTCTGGGGCTCTAATTGACTGCAGACGGACCCCCTGCGCCATCTGTGATTTCCAGGTCAATTAAATTTTCACTCCGAGATCTCGTATTCCCATCGTTTTAGCATAGAAGCGCATACAACCCTTTTTTTGCCCTTATCCCGTTCAAATGCGAGTTTATCGATTACCAGAGTGTTCTAAATTGTCGTAAAGTTGTCCTGACCATTTCGATTCTCATATCAGAGCCTTCGATGATTGTATATTGATAGAAACATGAGAGCTCGACGCCATTTTCGTTCATGTCTGGGCTGAGTTAAAAATTTTTTTAAAAAATCCAAATTTTTATTGTGTCAGGACAATTTTTAAATGATCACGAGTGATGTATCAAAGTTTCGGACAGTTTGGTCTAATACCCTTAAAAAAAAGTGTTGTATTCGAATCGACTGATTTCAAGGGGGTTTCACATCACCTTAATCCGCGGTGCTGTTCAATTTTCAGTCCCCGAGACCGCCCCACGTGGCGATCGGGTTATCGAAAAAGAGCTCGTCACTCAAGGCGGAATCGAGGCAAAGAAACGGTTCCGCGGGTTAGTCGAGAAGGGGAACGAACGGGTTAAGTTAAGATGCTCGAGTTTGCGTCGGAGCCGAGCGACCAGTAAAATGGAACGAGGGGCTATGCGCCGTGTAAAAATAGACCGCATCTAATTTGGTGCCCGTGAACTGAACTGGCGCGGTACTAGCGAGGCCCGGACACCCACCTATGCCTACTATGAACCCCGCCGAGTTCTCCAACGACGGAACCTGATTCGCGGACATCTATTTGGTTACGTGTCAAATGGGTCACCGATATTCTTTCGCGACGTGATTGTCTCTTTTTAGGCGATATGTACCCTGGGGGACATGAATTCCTTCCCATCGCATTGACGACGCCGCATCCGCAAGAGAAGCATTCATGCCCGCAACTATACCAAGTGGAATCGTACGCTCCTACTGAAAACCACTCAAGTAAAGCTGTGGTTTTGAAGCTGATGTCAAAGAATTCAGAAGTCCCATAGGTGCCCAGATCCTGTGTTAGCGTTTGATGCTCTAAGAGTTGGCTAACAAACCAGAACTGGGGGTAAAAGAGAGATCGCATGTGTTAGCCAACTATATCTCACATACGGAAGGAATCGTAGGCTCCTACTGAAAACCACTCAAGTAAAGCTGTGGTTTTGAAGCTGATGTCAAAGAATTCAGAAGTCCCATAAGAGCCCAGATCCTATGTTAGCGTTTGATGCTCTAAGAGTTGGCTAACAAACCAGAAGTGGGGGTAAAAGAGAGATCGCATGTGTTAGCCAACGATATCTCACATACGGAAGGAATCGTAGGCTCCTACTGAAAACCACTTAAACAAAGCTGTGGTTTTGAAGCTGATGTCAAAGAATTCCGAAGTCCCATAGGAGTCCAGATTCTATGTTAGCGTTTGATGCTCTAAAATTTGGCTAACAAACCAGAAGTGGGGGTAAAAGAGAGATCGCACGTGTTAGCCAACGATATCTCACATACGGAAGGAATCATGGGCTCGTACTGAAAACCACTCAAGTAAAGCTGCGGTTTTGAAGCTGATGTCAAAGAATTCAGAAGTCCCATAGGTGCCCAGATCCTGTGTTAGCGTTTGATGCTCTAAGAGTTGGCTAACAAACCAGAAGTGGGAGTAAAAAAGGGATCGCATGTGTTAGCCAACGATATCTCACATACGGGAGGAATCGTAAGCTCCTACTGAAAACCACTCAAGTAAAGCTGCGGTTTTGTAGCTGATGTCAAAGAATTCAGAAGCCCCATAGGAGCCCAGATCCTATGTTAGCGTTTGATGCTCTAAAAGTTGACTAACAAACCGGAAGTGGGGGTAAAAGAGAGATCGCATGTGTTAGCCATTGATATCTCACATACGGGAGGAAAAGAGACGCATATAGAAAGGCGAGTATTGGGTGTAAGATAAAGAAAGAATGCAATTCGCTATATATCGCCATAAGATTAAGAGAGATGGAGGGATGATTACAGCGTCGCCATCCGTTGGCTAATGTACTATTCGTCGAGCATCGAACGTCCGTATCTTTCTGAGCTTCTATGGAGACTTCTGAATTCTTTGCTGATGTTCGCAAGATTCTACAGTACCCATGTATTATTAAAAGTGTTTGGTGTGTATACCAAAACCAGAATCATCGACGCTGTCGAATGTAACCATTTCTACAAGAGAGTTTGTATAACGTTTTTCAGAACTTCGAAAAAAAACTGTAAGATGAGGAAAGAAATCAGGGTTGGTATTAATAAATATACCGCAATGCATCTGCTTGAAAATGCAAAAGGCTTCGAAATTTGGTACACGCTATCCGAAATTCGTATACTTGTATATTACAATTCTATGTACAATTGCGTACGAAATTATGTAATATTGCACTTTGAAGGCACTTTGGCTAGATGCGTAAAATATATCGAATCGATATTTTTAAGTGTCAGTATATAGGTTACAGATTACACACTTGTAGAGATATCTCCAAACTAAAAAAGTAAAGGGTATAATAATTGAAAGAATGGTAACCCTTTATCTTCCTACGTCCGTTGTAAACATCGTCAAGCTAAAAAGGGTTAAGTGAAGGTTATAATAATTGCAATAATGGTAATCCTTCATCTTTCTACGGTCTTTGTAAACTTCGTTGAATTTTCCAACGACGGAATCTTATTTTCGAACACCTCTTTGAGCACGTGGTCAAATGGGTCACCGACATTCCTTCGCGGAAGGATTTCTTCTTTTTAGGCTGCACGGAGACCAAGCTGAATTGTGGCCAACTGTTGGAAACCTCTCAATTATAGCTGCGGTTTTATTGCTAATGGAGCTAGAGTTCATGGCAACCAAACCTTCCCATGTTTCGATTTCCTCATGTGCATATGTTATGGATTGCACAGTTGCAGGGATATCTTCAATTTATAAAGGTTAAGTAGAATATATAGTTGCACTATCGATGCGTTCCTCCCATCTCTCATTAAGTATTTAGTTACATCTTTCAAATGGATTACCAAAATTCTTCCGAAGTAGAATTGTCGCCTGTTAGGCAAAGATAAACAGGCACCCACTAAACACAGCTACATAACAATAATATAACCATTACATAACGTAACATACATATAACATATAAGTAACATTTGTATTACTATTTCCTCCGCAACTATGTAGCACTACCGTAAAACGAATAATGTAACGTATACATAACATATCGGTATGTTATATGTTATGTTAATATTATATAACTGCAATGCTTATGAGTTTGTAACAATGTTACTGAAAGGTAATAATTCGTCGTTATATGATATTAATGTATCTTTTGAATAACATTTGTTATATATCATGTTATTCCAGTGTTATGTAATTGTAACATAGGGTGTTTGGTGGGCAGTATTTAGGCGAAATCGTGCTGGAAACACCAATCGAGTAACAGATGTAGGCAATGACGGACATGAATAACATTCGTTATATATCATGTTATTCCAGTGTTATGTAATTGTAACATAGGGTGTTTGGTGGGCAGTATTTAGGCAAAATCGTTTTGGAAACACCAAACGAGTAACAGATGTAGGCAGGGACGGACATGAATAACATTCGTTATTCCAGTGTTATGTAATTGTAACATAACGTGTTTGGTTAGCAGTATTTAGGCGAAATCGTGCTGGAAATACCAATCGAGTAACAGATGTAGGCAGTGACGGACATGAATAACATTCGTTATATATCGTGTTATTCCAGTGTTATGTAATTATAACACAGTGTGTTAGGAGGGCAGTATTTAGGCAAAATCGTGTTGGAAACACCAATCGAGTAACAGATGTAGGTACAATGACGGACATGAATGCCTTCTCCCGAAACGTCATATGCACTTGGTGTTCATCGTACAAAGATATCGTTATGCCACAATATGCCCCAATAATACGTGCTTCAAGAACTAAATCAGGCATTCACACGCACTGGCCGCGTACCAGCTTCGAGTGCACTCTGGGAGTGAAGGGGAGTAATGAATAAATTACGTGTAAAGTACCTATATCAGTAGCGCAAGTTCTGCCGATCCCAAGCGCGTACCAAAATTACTTTTCACTTGGGCACTCCCCAAAGTAATTACGAGGTGTGGGCTTATTCTTGATTTAGAACCCTCAAAGATTAGAACAAACGAAAATAGATGAATGTTGAATGTCTCGGAGGAACGAGTAAGTGAGTTCTATTAACTTTATTTTACTGGAATCCGAATTTCTTTTGCATCGAAAATCCGTGCCATCGGTTCGTAAATTAATGGAGTTTTTAGAAACTAATGAAGATCATAAATGATGAAGAAAAAGATCATTTATGATCTTTCTTAGTTTCTAAAAACACATTGACTTTCTGTTTCAGATTTGTTACTCTCTTGGAATCATCTACGCCGTGAAGAAAAAATTAGAAATTTCCCGCCTTCATAAGTCTGCCTTATTTTAAAAGATTTTAAAACTCTTTTTATGTTAAATTCTCCGTAAAACATCAAATAAAACAATCCCATAAACAAATATTCCCTGTAACTTTTCATTCTCTTTTAAACCCACTTCGAATAAAACACATTTCAGGATCTATTAATTCCATTAATAAATCTTTGATCGGTAAGTATTAATTATGAGCGTCCCAAGTGAAAATGTTATGCGCTATTTCCTTTTACACACAATTTTACACACAAATTGTAAACTGAAGTTGGCATTTAATTGCGGCATTTCTCATAATATCATAGATAACTGCTAAGTACGTTTGTTCCCCTCGCCAAAAATGATCTTATCGTAAATGACGAGTGATTTATACACTGATGTTATCCCTTTGAGTGCTAAAAAGTGCAGCAGAGTTCCATAATGATAATAAATCGAACTGATTATTATTGAGAAAATCAATTCTCATGCCAATGATAATAGATTGATAAATGACTTCTTATCATTCAGTTAATAAGTTAAAAAATATAATTTCTTTATATGTTTATAAATTATTGAAACTAAATATGTCATTGAGATTTTCAAGAAATATTTCAGATGTCTTCGAGTGAACTCTACAAGAAATCTTAAAAAATCTGTCGCTTGAGATATTTAGCAAAAATTACAAACAAATATTTAGAAATTATTCTATGCTACTAGGGTAAGCTTTACCTCGCAATTATATTCGAGATATGATAAACTTTGTCGACGTAATCAATATATTGTGGGTTAAATGAAAGCCAAACTGAATGTTACTGTTGTTCGGCAGAACTGGAACATTAAGCTGTACCGATAGTAACTATCGAAGAGATTGAACTATATTGCCTCAGGGCTCGGTAGGAGCCTCTAATTATTCTATGCTAAGTTTCAGAGATAAGCCAGAATTACGGACTTTAACACATTCAGTCTTGTGAACATGCACATCGCGTTCAACATAATGAATCTGCAACTTCTAACAAGGAAGGTATCCCAGGTCGATTTCTCCGATTTAATTTCTTTTATAATATGTTATAGTAGACTAAAAATTAAGCGACACGTATTCTTTTTTATCTTCCATTAAACACTTTAAGTGGGTGAAACCA